ATTATACAATGCTAACAATGCGGCTCTTGTAGCCCTGGCTTGGGCAAGGCATCCATGTGCAAAGCAGTGGTGGTGTTTGTTTATCCATGAAAAAAGCACGCCGGGAAAGTTTGCCTTACCAGGTAAAGGTGACGTATCTAGCTTATGACGTATGCATGCTAACTAAGGTGAGTGTGACGTCACCAAAAAAATGAATATTTTCTATTATAACCAAAATATTAATAACTACAAAGTTTCTGGGCGTAAATTCCCTTAATACGAATGAAGGGTTGCTCAATCTCCTTGCCATACAAATTACAGCTCCTACTGACGTCTCAGTCGAGAAATACGGGTAGCTGAAGTTTTTCTCACAAATCTGACTACAAAACCATATCCAATTTTCACGTTCCACTTTTGACCCTGAGTTGTGCTTCGCACTCGCCGCTGAAGGCGGCGTTCCGGGAACACTGCGTCCAGACTTTTAAGTAATATCAAAGATACTAGAAATACAAGATAGAGTTCTCCAAACAAAAAAAGTGTTCCACTGTATTCCACCGAAATGCATGGTGGAAATACGAAAAATGGGACGCCCTCTACGTCAGTAGTTGAACTGGATCCCTCCCAGTGCCTAAGAAGTAAAGGTGCCCACATTATCCACCTCAATGTGCGTAGCCTACTTCCAAAGCTTGACGAAATAAAGCTAATATCAAATACAACTAACCCCGCTGTTTTTGCCATTACCGAAACTTGGTTGGATGAGACTTTTAACGATGCATAAATTCTGGTTCCGGGTTATTCTATCATCCGAAAAGACCGTAGCCGTAATGGTGGTGGTGTCTGTATGTATCTTAAGAACAATTTATGTTTTGTAAATACGACGGATTTAATCTCTGCCGACTTAAAAGCTATTTGGGTTGAATTTCGTCTGCCTAAGTCCAGTCCAATTGTTGTCGGTGTTGCTATCGTCCACCGAATCAACTTAATTTCATTGAGGTGTTTGAAAATACTGTTAAAAAAATTAGGCCCGATTTAGAATCAATTATTTTAGGCGATTTTAATTTTTGTTCTATTAAAGAAGACCGATCCTATAAAAAATATAATGATGCTCTGAATTCTCTTAGTTTTGTAAATATAATTAAAGATCCTACCCGCATTACCAATTTAACTTCTTCTGCAATTGATCATACCCTATGTAATTCCAAAGATTTTATTTGCCAGAGTGGTGTCATTCCAGTTGGTCTGAGTGATCACTGCCTTATATATTGTACTAGGAACAAAATTAAATTTAAATATAATACACATAAAACTCTCAAGATTAGATCACTTAAGAAATATAACATTAACCATTTTAATTTAAAACTTAAGACTACAAATTGGAACGAAATAATGTGTATTCCGGATGTATATCGGGCTTGGTGTAAGTTTAAAGATAAGTTGCTTAGTATTATTGACCAAGTTGCCCCTTTTAAGGAAGTGAGAATAAAAAATAAATCTAAAACCTGGTTCACTTCGGAAATTCTAGAAAACATTAAGAAAAGAAACAAAATTTTAAAGAAATTCAGTTTAAATACTAAGGAAACTGAACTATAAACAATATTGTTGGTTGAGAAATAAAGTTCAAAGGGACATTAAGAAAGCAAAATCTAATTTCTATCGCGATAAAATAAAAGAAAACAAAAATAATCCAAGAATTTTGGATATAGCACCAAGAGTAAGGAAAGAAATAAATTGTTTTTAAATATTGATGGTAACGCATGTTTTAATAATTGTACTATAGCTAATAATTTCAATTCCTTTTTTACAAGTATTGCCTCTAAGCTTGTGTCTGAAATGCCATTGTGCAATAATTCTATTTTTGATACTAGCTCTGAGCTTTTTAAATCTTTTTATAACTCCAGAAATGTTCTGCCAAGCACGTTTATCCTATCCGAAGTTAATGAAGAGAGCATACTAGATGAACTCATTAAACTTAACCCGAATAAAGGGCCAGGACTTGATAATCTTCCAGCAAGATTTTTAAGAGATGGTGCGACTATTCTAAAGAAACCTGTAACTTATATCATAAACTTATCTATCAGTAAAAATGAAGTCCCCAATGATATGAAAATTGCGAAGGTTTTTACCTCTCCATAAAAAGGGATCAAAAGATGATGTGAAAAATTACAGGCCCATAAGTATTTTAGGTAGTGTGTCCAAAATCCTTGAAAAAATGGTTTTTAATCAATTTGAAAAGTACTTGTTTGAAAATAATTTGCTTTATAAATTCCAAAGTGGTTTTAGAAGAGCGTTTTCTACCGACTCAATCCTCATTCATCTAAACGATTTTATTAGAACACAGATTTCGAAAGGTAATTACATCGGTATGGTCATGCTAGACCTACAAAAAGCTTTCGATACAGTCGATCACAGTCGAATGGTTCAAATCTTATTTGTCTAATAGAAAACAGATTGTTTGTATTGATGGTACCTTCTCTGAACCCCTAGAATGTACTCATGGAGTTCCACAAGGAAGCATATTAGGTCCGCTCCTCTTTAATTGTTACATTAATGATATGTCAATATGTATTAATAATGAATGTAAACTCTTATTATATGCAGATGACAGCGCCATTTTGTTAGCTCATCGTGACCCACT